CATGATAGATATATGGATTGTTTACCTTGTATCAGTTATGTAGGGTTACGAACGGGGAATAAGAATGAAAGATATAAGAAAGAAACGGAGGGTGAAGAGAAAAAAGGGGGAGAGTGATGAGGGGAGAATGAGGGGGGGGGGGGGTTGGGTTGCGATTCAAGCACTCGAGAACAGCGCCAATTTGTCATTTGCACATCTTCCATAATAGACTTTGTTTGCCCCCAGAATTTTGCATATCCGTTGTTTTTAATTTCTCCTGGGTATTGCAGTCGTCCAAGAGAAATTGAAGACAATACTTATGCAATTTTTTAGGGGGGGGAGGGGTGGGGACAAGCTTGTGTATTATGGGAGATAAGCAAGAGGCGAATAGCTGACCGGGTTATCCCCAGTAACGATAGAGCTCTCATCTAATTGATCGACTGCCCTATAAAGCCTTCCACTTTTTTTTTCAAGTATCGTCGACAGTGCTGGAAAAATAGTAAACTTAGCAAGGCTGAAAGTGATACATCTGAAAGGGACGAAAACTTAGCTACGTAAAGTCGCCACCTTTCAGATGTCTGTGAAATCTCGCATTTTGGGGAGCTACACCTTGGTTAGCTTTCCTACTCTCGTGGTAGTTAAACTGATTTTAAAGCGTCCTTTCAAGCGGTGTGGAAATGTTTCTTATCCACGTGAAAGGTGAAAAAACCGTGGAGGGGTGTTCTGGAATGCGCGGACGTTCGTGGTAAAGGAAATCTTAAAATAGCCTGAATATTCTGCCCGCTGTATTAAAACACTTCTTAGTACACAACAGGAATATTGTAGTAAGCGTAAACAAATATAATTATCTGGAAATAAAGTTATTTATGCTTTACAGAGCCAGCTATTCTCCTTTGTACGTTAAGAGGTCGTGAAAACCGAGCGGCGACGCCACGGGGTTAAAGAACGTTCGGCTCATTATCGGCAAAAGATCGGGTCAAAGACTTCGTGCAATGGTCGGCAGGCGCCCTGGTCGAGGTCAGAATCACAGTTTGTTGTCGTCTCACACAGCTGGTATTTGCTACGCTCGGTGGTCACCTGGCAAAATGTACCAAAATGGACACTGAAATTCGAAGTTTTACCTAGAAATGGTAACAGTTCTGTTAGTGAAGAAGACAAACGACGGTAATGGTGAAAGCAGTTTGAAGGCGCGCCACAACACAACTTTCCACACAGGTCAGACTTCGACTCATGACTTTTTCACTTGAAACAAAGTGAGCAAAAAATGTAATCGAGCATGGTATTTTCAATTGCTAGATTCTAAATTGGAGGATGTTTTGTTAGATTCTTTAGAAACTTTACAAATTCCCAATTCCATTCACTTTAGTTGAAGGATATGAATAATTTACCACGAAAAACAAATTTGTGGGCGAAGACTACATTGAAAACTATCCGAGCGTGAAAAAAGAGGAAAGGTCTTAAAAATCAAATTAACGGGTCATGTCATCACAACAACGCCGGTAATTTTAACTATCGATAATGGGCATTTGTTTTGGGATGTGTTAGATAGATGGTGTTATAAGGCGTGAGAATTTGACAGTGCAAAGCAAGTACAGCATGCCAGGAGATCCATTTGCTGATCAAGTACCTGCCGATCGCGATGAAGAGATGGAGGCGTTCGCCATCTCGCCGATGGCTTTGTCATTCGAGGCTGCTGGGATTATAGGGATGTGCTCGACAATTATCATCGGCAATGGTCTACTCTGTGTATTAAGTTTCCGAAAGCCCAATCAGTCTTATACGGGAAATATCACCCTGTTGTACGTGGCTGTGGCAGACATATTTACCGCTATAATCACCATGCCTTTGATGGTTGCATCATTGTTGGAACTCAAGTGGAAGTATGGCGATCTGCTTTGCAAAACAACGGGAGTTTTAACAATGTTGTTTTTAGGTTGTAGCTTGCTAGTCCTCTGTGTCGTGTTGTTACATCGCTTTTGGCTGGTTTTCTGCTCCTCTAGCGAAGATCTAGAATCTCTTTCAAGAAAGCAGGTCCTCATATTTCTAGTGGTGGTCGTTTTAGCTATCGCCATAGCTTGCTTGGTAGTTTTAATAGACTGGAGGAAGTTTCAAACGAATCCTGCAAGACTTCTCTGTCGTCTGGCAAACTCGCCTAATTATATTGCGTACAGAATGTATTACTGCCTTTTTTCCATGATTGTGCCTCTGTTAATAATAATTTTGTTACTAAACCGAAAACCACCGTACCCGGGGCCCTGATATAACCGGGAACAAGCGAAATCTACCGAGAGCCGTTACCGAGAGCCGACGTTAGAGCCGACGCCGGTGGAAAAGAGAGTGCGCATTCAAACTGGTCACCAGTTCTCTTGTTTCAGCTAGCGCGTACACTTACCATATTTGTAGAGCATCAAATGGCTCACACTGCTCAAGCGAAGATCTACTGTGGAGCCCACATCTAACGCACGGAACATTGCTGCCGTCTTCGACGATACCATGAGTTTTAAGGAACACGTCAATGAACTATGCAGGACTGCTTTTTATCACATCAGAAACAGTCGTATACGTCCATGCCTTAGTATTGACTCAACTAAAACACTAGTGCATGCATTAGTAACGTCTCGCTTAGATCATTGTAATTCGCTTCTCTATGGCCTACCTGATTGTCTTATTCAGAGACCACAATATGTTATGAACGCGACGGCCAAAGCGATCACTTGCAAGCGATAGTTTGATCATGTCACACCACTACTTATTGAGCTACACTGGCTCCCCGTCCGTCAGCGTATTGTTTTTAAGATCTTATTGTATACCTTTTAGAGCACTCCATGGTGCGACTCCAACGTCCCTGACTGAGTTCATCAGTCCTTACGTTCCTAGGCGAGCTCTTAGGGCTGCTGACCATCTTCTACTGCAGCAGCCAACGCACAAGCTCAAATTGATTGACTTGAGGGCTTTCTCAGTGTGCGCGCCTTACCTCTGGAACTCGCTTCCATTTGAGATTAAAAGTAGCGCATCTGTCTCTATCTTTAAAGTTAAGCTTAAGACCTATCTTTTTCGACAAGCGTATTTTTAGGACTTTTAGACTTTCGATTTTTTCGATTCTTAGGATTTTTTTTACATTTTTTAGTGTATAGATTATAATATATTTGACACTGTAAAGCGCATTTGGGCGTTAGGAAAATGCGCTATAGAAATAAATTATTTATTATTATTATTATTATTATTACTCCACGGTGGCTAAGGTTACAGAAGCGCTACTCCAGTTTTTAATAAATGCCTGATAAAGATAGGCACGACAGAGTTTTTGAACCATTTCTGTTGAGAAAACCAGTCAGATCTAAAGGAATTTTGAAGCTCTTCAACAGAATAACTGTTGCTGTGTTTTGTCCAAAAAAGAATCGACTGCGTCTTGCGTCTTGTTAAAACTTCAAAATAAACTCTTGCTCGTTGTCATTTATTATTTTATATACTGAGGTAAAAAGGAAAAGGGTTCTTATTCTACAAAGTCAACATTTGACTCGCAAACTTGAGGTCGACTGTGCGCATATTTTAACCCCTGTATCTTCATCAGTGCTCCATTCTACGGGTATTAGATTAGAGAGCTTTAAATTTGAGGTCGAGAACGAGTAAAAGCCGACGAGATTTCACTTAAAGTTTTTTCGCGTATTCTCGAAAAATATTCAAGCCGGAAAGCTTCATTGTACTATTTTTCACCTGAAACGGAGAAGGTTTAGCCCTTTCCCGTTCGCAAAATGATTAAACTTCTAAAATTCGATAACTTGTTCCGCCACTACGACATTCTCGCTAAAACTCCTAGTAGAATGAAGACGGCTATCCCCTTTTTCCGCCCAAATTACGCTGGTTACGCTTGAAGCCTGGCACTGATAATCCAAACAAATGGTACCAAAAATTTCGGTCGTTTAGGTAAAAACGGGAAAAAGGTAATACCACGAAAGGTATTACCTTTTTTCCGGAAAATTTCCACCGGGAAGAACAATTCCATTTGAATTCTCCCCGGAATTTCCGGGTTTTTCATACAAATGATAAGCGCTCCTAGTCTCAGAATCTAAAGCTCTCTCTCCTGACCCAAGAGCCTTGATCTTCATAATTCTTAAGGTATACTCAGCCTCACCCAGTAATTAATAATTGCTTCAGTGTTAAGATAACACTTTTAAGAGCCTTTTTAAACCATGTTACGTCGACCATATGGGTGAAAATTAATTACACAGCCATGGTAGAGTACCCATCCAATCGTATGAAAATAAAAGGTATGGAATCGATAAAAGTATGATTTTAAGTTTGCCTGTACTTTCACATTGTGGCCCTAAGTCCACATTATCTATTACAAATCGATTTGGAATTTAGAAATGTTATTAGATTCTTAGGAGAGATGAAAAATGCAGTGGTGGGAGAACGATCCGCTACAAAATATATAACATCCAAATTAGTTGAAGGGCTGAGAGACTGAAAAGAGAGGAAAAAATTGCATTGACTCAAATCACAGCCCATTTTTTTTTCTGAATCTTCCCAAACGGAATGGCAAAGACCATTTAATTTTCCCACCGGACTTAAGTGTCCCAAGGAAATGATAAGTACCCTCTGGGAACTCGACCCCTGAGTAAGTGGAGAAAATTCTCTCGACGAGCAAGAACCAATCACAAACTCAACTCATATTTGGTTCGTCGCCTACAGGATTCGAACCCAGGCCACATTGACAGCAATGCTCGCCACAAATATTGACTTTTCTTTTTATGCCACACCTTACTGTCCATGTATCACTTTCTTTTGCTCCAATAAATCTACCGTAATACCGCAGGTCACGCTCTTTTTATGCGTAAATGAATACACGGTCTTCCTGATGAGAAAACAAGCAGCGCAACGGTTAATTATCTTTGCCACCCACGCGGCCTCCTAAGGTTGAGCAGTAGTAATAATTTAGCTAATATACTTTAAAATTCTCCCCAAATTTTTCTCAAATAAATACGTCAAAGCCATAGTTAAATCTCCCATGAAGAACTTCAAGAACTCACAAACAGACAAATGAATTGTTTCTAAAACAAGATAATAGAACGAATATGTGGCGAAAAAACATACATCGAAAACACTTCGAGTTTTTAATACCGCAAGATATCACTGTTGTTACCATTTATGGATTTACATGACAGGTTTTCTTAATTTTTTGACAAGTTTAAGTTATCTTATCAATAATTAATCTTAATGGGCAAACTGAAAAATTATCGGAGAAAATCTTTTTGAATATGTCCACAGCGTGAGTTTTGCTATAAATTTTATCCACCTCTCGATTTTCCACCCGAGTATGTGACTTGTTTTAACTTTTCACATAAAAACCCAAAGGCTTTTGTTTTTGCCATGACTGAAAGAATACGATTTGAGTTAACTTGAATTTCGATGTAAAATCTTGCCTGTTAAAAGCAGAATGAGTATCACGACTTGAAACAAATTCAAATTAAAAATTGATTTTTTCGAATTCAAGTGCACTGGCACAAGCGATAGAGTTTTAAATTATGTTCAACAAAATTCTCTGATAAAATATTTATAAATTTTCGATTTACCGCAGACAAAAGAATGTCGCACTTTTGATAGCCACTTGTCAAAGGCGAACTGAAATTCTACGGCGATGGCTATTGCCGACAGCTCCAAACTTCTGTTGATTAGAATGACTTTATTTTCAATCTACGTCCTACTTGGTGCATTTATTTTTCAAGCTATTGAAAGCGAACCTCAGATGAAAGAAATAGATCGAGTTCGCGCCACGCGAATGGAAATTTTGAACAGGTATAACATTACTGCGGAAGACGCTGAAAAATGGATGAAAACCTTCGCCTCTACGTCGATGGGAAATGAGGATTTTCTGCACTGGAATTACGGAAATTCTTTTCTATTTGCAATGGTCGTGGTTACAACTATAGGTAAGATTTTTATTGTTTCGAATTTCAGCTCAATTTAAATGCAAAAATTATAACACATTTTACCAAATTGTGTTTGAAAAGAAAAGTTAAATGTAGTTGCCTTTCTTTAAAGGTCTGACAAATGTTTGTATATGACTTCAGCTATTGTAGCTGTAAAAAAGGACATTTTTGACTTGTTTTGAATTCTTATTGAATTCAGTTTAATCTGTTCTTGAAATTGCACGCTCCCTTTTGAAATTAATCGTTCGTACTTCAGTTCCAACAAAATCTTATATGGGGAGGTTCCGCCCAGAGCTCCAACCCTTACCCTTTTATATGCCATTTTTGATAGAAAAAGTACCCCTTTCGTAAACCTTCCATTGAAAAAATTACCCCTTTAACGAACCTACTTAATAACAAAATCGCTAAAACAAAAAGTCTCTTTTCGTTTTCGCGAAACGTTTTATAAGTTAAAATGATTGAGGCATAAGGCGCATCTTTTCGAAACATTTCAAGACGGAATCCACCAGAACATTGAGTAATTTTGATTTTCAGTGGACAAAAATCTTGCCTCAGAATAATTTAAAGCATATTGCATTCTTTCTTAAATTTTTCAAGGGCTAAAGATGTAATAAATCATCTGTAGCTAGTAACACCAAAAAAAATTTCTTATGGGAGTCCGAGAAAATGATTGTCAAATTTCACAAAATTACATCTTACACATGAAATTTTCAGAATTTTACCTGTACAATCATAATTTTTGTGAAATATTCATTAAATTATTCTGATACAAGATTTTCGTCCACTGAAAATTTGAAATTACTCAATGTTCTGATGGATTCCGTCTTAATTAAAGGCCCTTTTAAGGTTGATAGGGTTTTTCGGGGTCAATACCTCCCAAGTTTGAGTGTAAACTACGTCGTCATAGACAGAGATTTGGAAAAACTGCCACCACAGCTGTATTAGATCTCTCTTGATTAGATAAAGAAGAAAATTTGTTATGATCAGGGTTGCAATGACATCGGAGCTGTCATAGCAACGAAATGACGCAATCACTCATTGGTGGCGTAGTTTATGCCCAAACTTGGGAGGTATTAACCCTGAAAAACCCTATCGAGCCACCTCAAATACTTGAATAAAAGATTTTCCTACCCTTTCATATTGCTGGTTTGCACGGGACGTCACGGCGGCAATGTTGGTGGTCAAGGACCAAAGCATTTCTCTCCTCTGGGAACAAAACTCTATTTTCATGTAAATTCTTCAAGAAAAAATTCTATTGTATTGACCCTCAACATGACCCGGCCCTATCACGTGGTTGCAAACAAAGAATACTTCAACTCGTGAATTCCCCACTGTTTGATACACCTTAAGTCTTCGAAAGCCCCTGTCGGGCGGAGTATCCCCTTATAGATAGAGAGTGGCCCCCGGGTTTCAGTAGTACTGAGAAAAATAATTGTACCTGAGAGAGTGAATTACAGAGCTTAATTTTTCTTTCATTCTTTCCACTTTTATTTGCATACATTTTAAAAGAAAATCACCAAATCTGAGCAGAATTGAACTAATAAAAAAATTTCATTAAGTGGTTCACACTGAATTTTCGGTTGGTTAAAAAAAGAAAAACTAAAACCATTTCATACATTTTCAATTCGGAGTGGGTAACAACGTTATAATTGTTATGTGTATTTTAGTTGTTCTTTTAATATATAAATAAAATGAGCCCGACAAGGTTATCACAATACGTGAAAAAGAGTGAAAATGACAGCCTTTAATAGCGTGACTTATACAAAAATGAATTTTTTTGGCAGGCTATGGTAACATTGTCCCAAAAACAGTCCAAGGACGTCTGTTTTGCGTGCTATACGCACTCATCGGAATCCCTGGGACATGCTTGACTCTTAAATCCATCGGAGATAAAATAACGGAACTATTTACAAAATTAATTACAAACTTCGAGAAACGCGTTTTGAAAAGATCACATCTGCCTCAAAAAGTGGAGCTAAAAGTTGCGATGACAACGATTGTGGTAACTGTGGTTTGTCTACTACCATTAATGGCTCTCTTGGTTCACGTGAGACACAAGGAATGGTCATATATCGAATGTTTTTACTTTACTTTCACGACTTTGAGTACAATTGGTTTTGGCGATTACTTGCCGCAATTTAAGAACAACGCTGATTATTCACTTGTACTCCTGGCGTTTGTGGGTCTCGCTTTCGTATCGAGCATATTTTGCTCAATGAACAATGTGCTTGAGCAGTATGGGCCGAGTGCGCGCGTTGTGCGGTCACTGCGCGAGAAGAACGCAAAGAAGTCTTCGGAAGAAAAATCAAGTAATAACAATGAACAATTGCCCTGTAACGGGAACGAAATAATGGCGGAAGCATGTAGTGATGGTAAAAAAGGCGATTTGAACAACTGCCTTCTAAAGACAGGCGACAGTACCAAGCAGGATGATGTGCCAATTTCCGGTTCAGGAAGAAACAGTTTTGCGGAAGAAACAACTATGAAAAGTAAGAAGCGTGAAAGCTCGATCAGCCTTGGAATATTTACTTGCTAAATAGGATTGGTTACTGGGTCTGCAAGCTTTGACTTTTGACCCGGCTGTAGAAATTTTTTCTGGGTTGTTCAGCCTTGCTTTTGGTGGATTTTCTTGCAAGGTATTACTGATAAGTCGATTGAAGGTGGATCCAGGCCGAAATATGGGTTCGAAACACAAGCATGATAAGAAACGTAGCCTAAGAAAAGTAAGCAAAGCAAGAAGAAGTAGTAACAAAATTAAATGGTCACATTACGTGCTGTTTGCAGCTTAAGATGTTCTTTCTTGGAGCAAAATTTCTGGTCTTGATCTGTGGATCACTTCAGGTGTCTAAAAATCCTGTTGGGAATTTGTCGGAGAGTTGTCTAATACTATTGTGGAAAGCAGGGACACGAGAAAAAGTAAGGGGTCAAAAAGGGTGCAAAAAATTAAGGCAAGATGGCGCTCTATCCTCGTGCGGGGGGGGGGGGGGGGAAAGCCCCCCCGGGCCCCCGCTCCCCCCCAAAAACCCCACACCCCGGGGGACAAAAGGTGTTTTCCACCCACACACAACACCCCCCCCCAGGGGGCTGTTTACCACACAC